GGCCGGGCCCGCGGTGGGCGGGCGGGCGGTGGGTGTCTGAGGGAGCCCGGCCTCTGGCTCCCTGTGGCCGCTCAGCCCGCTCCTCAAGATGCGGACATGAACATGTTTTCTTCCAGGACGTCCGCCGCGACTGGAGGCCGCCAGCCTCACTCAAGTACGAAAAATAAATCTTTCATTTCACATTTTAAAGATGGTTGTGCTATTTTGACATGGGGAATCGTCCACGTCTGTTTACAAACTCTGTAACATAAGCATGTTTTAAAATATCGCCAGGCTATCATAACTCTCCACGACAGCCCACGCTGTTTTGGTTTAGTTTTGTTTTGTTTTATTTGTTTTTCTTTTACCGTCTTTTTTCTCTTTACTCTGTCCAAGCGCGCTCTGCAGGGTCAGTTTCTTCCCAACTCTTCATTTTTACTTTCTCGAATAAACTTGGCCACTGCTTTATAAAAAATAAATACAATTAAAACACCAGCCAGCTTTGTTATTAACATAAATTTAACATTGCAGCTCTATTTAGCAGTTGAGGTGAAATTTAGCTCACGCAAACTCTTCTTTCCTTGAAAGAGACCCTTACTGTCAGAAACGGTAGAAGAAAAATGGTGACACATACTTCGTTTGTGCTAAGCATTGGACACTGGCTGAAGCCTGACGATTCCAAGTTTGAGCTCAGCATGAGTTCAGGAGCTTCGCAAAACCTTGTCTCAAAAAAAAAAAAAATAAATAAAAGGGAAGGGGCGGGGGTATATGCAGCTCAGCGGTAAGGCCTGAGTTCAATCCCCAGTAGTACGGAAAAGAAAAAAAAAACTTGCTGAAATGTCTTGAATATTAGAGATCAGTTCATGTTCACAGTGACTGGCTGGCACATATTAAATAAGTGCTCGGTATTTTGATTGAGTTGTGAGGAGCCTAAAGCTCACCTCTCTTCCTGAGTTGCCACTAGATTTGCCATTAGGTTTTTGATAACATAAAATGATTTCCCACATTACTTGTGTAGGATGCAAGTATGAATTTGGATGGACGGTGATGATGATTTGCAGTGCTGGGAATCCAGCCTAGGTTCTCACATGCTAGTTAAGAGCTTTGCCCTCTACACCTCAGTCCTCTCTGTGTGTGTGTGTGTGTGTGTGTGTGTGTGTGTGTGTGTGTGTGTGTGTGTAATGTTGGTAGAATCCACGTAAAGAGTCGCTGAAGGGTTTTGCCAATAATCATAGTTTCTCCTAGTTCCTCCTTCCCTGTTTCTTGCCTTTGAGAAAAGGCTCACATTTTAATTTGTCTTCCTTTCTTTTCCTCTTACTCACAGACCTCTCCTCTTGGTATAGCTAAACCAAGAGCAAAATTAAAAACTTCCTCAAGGTGGAATTTCACCAAGATGATAGCACTGATAACTTGTCAGCTTTTCCTCATCTACCAGTGTTTTATTTCAATGAATCTATATTTGGGAATTTAAGATAGTTCTTTCTCCTTTCAGTTTTCTCATTTTCTATGTGGTATCCCAGTACATACATAATGGAATGGTGTAGAGACCTACAGTAGGCATATGTTTTTCTTTTAGATTCATGAAAAATTACATTCTGTTTCTTGATTGCTTTTATATAAAAGCACTTTAGAATCATTTACCACTGAGTAAAAACCTCCTGGAATATGTGCCAGGGTTACTCTATTTGTTGCATCCCTCCCCTAAAACTGGCTTTCCCACCACTAGTTTTTTCCATGTAAATGTAAGGTTGCTCTTGCTTGGAAAAGACGCAGATGAGGCCTCTAGCTGCCTCCCAAGTGAGATGGGTGAGGAAGAGCATAAAGTTCTTACCCAAGTCTCAAGGCTCAGTCTGCCACCCTCTGTGGTCTCTGTAGCACCACCCTCCCTCAACTTCATAACTGCCTTCAGTTTGGCTGGACTTTAGGATCTAGGAAGAAAGGAGGGGAGGGAAGAGAAACAAATATAGAACTATTATTCCCTACCTAATTCTTTGTTACTGACTGTTATAATGAAGGCACTAGCCACATGTGGCTGTTAAACACTTGAAATGTAGCTGGTGCAACCGAAGAACTAAATTTTTACTTAAATCTAAAACTGAAGGAGTGTAAAATGTTTTTTCCTTTCCTTTTTTTTTTAATAGGGTTATATTTCACAAAAACTGTTAAAGTAGTATCCGGGCTGGTATGTAGTATATAGCTTAGTGGTAGCATACTTGCTTAGCATGCAAGAGGACCTGTGTTTAATCCCACACTACAGAAAAGCATCAAAATTGAGATAAACTGTGAATGTAAAATATATACCAACAACAAAATTTCAAAAACTTAAAACAAAATATCTAAAATATCTCATCATTTTTTATATTGGTTACTTTTTAACTATTTTGGATACAAACTATTATGTCTCTTCATTGTAGCCTATCCTATGCTTGTTAGTATGTATTTTTATTTTCCTACTTTTACTTGGAGTTGCTTTTAAAACTATAGAGCCTGCTTTTCCTATCTTTAATAAATGTGAAACTTTGCCACTATTAATACTTTGCATATATTTGGTTATATCAAAATATATTAAATTTTGCATTTTCTTTTTAATTTGTGTTTAAAAATATAAAATTACTTATGCAGCTCTCATTTGATTGGACAGTGCTGCTCTATCATTATGCCCAACAGTATTTTCCATTCCTTCCTTCAGCAGGGAATTTTCTGAGGGTCACGAAGGAGAGAGTCTGTACCTAATTCTGAATACCAAGGGAGTTGTGGCTGCGTGTGTCACCTTGAGTCATGGATTCAGAGGTTCTCATTAGGGTCTGATTCACTTTTTCATACGTTCATTTTCCATTACACTAGAAATGCTTTGACCACAAAAGTAATACTAGCTTTAGTAGTTGTGTTTACCAATTGCTACTAAAGTAATGACCATGCATATTGTTAAATATTGATGTGTTATTTGTTTCTGATTTTATTAAATCATAATGTTATATATTCATACACACTTTTATCTGCTTATTTTTTGTGATGCTGAGAATCTAACCTAGAGCCTCATGCTTGCTAGGTAAGCACTCTACCACTGAGCTATACCCCCAACCCTTTTTATTCTATTTTTTAGACAGGGTTTGCTAAATTGCCCAGGCTGGACTTGAACTTGTGATCCTCCTGCCTCGTCCTCCCAAGTAGCTAGGATTATAGGCATTTGCCACCACAGCCACTGATATTCATATGCACTTATAATCAATCATTGTATGTTCATATACTTAAAACTTTGAAGATTACAGCAGTCAAGCATGGTGGTGGATATGCACAGTCCCAGCACTCTGGGAGGCTGAAGCAGAAGGATTGCAAGTTCAAGCCCAGCCTGGCAACTTAGAGACATTCTGTCTCAAAATAAAAAGGGCTGGAGAGGCAGCTGAGTGAAAAAGCCCTGGATTCAATCCCAAATACCACAAAAAATTATAAAAATCCTCCAAAGTACATTATCATATATTTCTTTGCTAGAAATGTTTTCTACTATTTGATAAATACTTATTGATTAAATGAATTTTGTAATATACTATGGGATTTACTAATAAGATTTGCTTTTGTGGAAAGGGTTGCTTTTAATAGTAGCCTTGCCTTGATCATTAAGTTCTGCAATATTTCCTTTGTTCTAAAAGAAATGTGAGCTGATGATTAGCAACCATATTATAAGATTATACAAGTTAAATCAGAATAAAAAATCATGGAATGAGGTGGGAACTCAGCTTAGTGGTGCTGCCACCTGCCTTGTAAGTGCAAGGTCCAGACTTTGATCCCTAGTACCAAAAAAGAAAAAAAAAAAAAACATGAAAAAAGAATGCCCTAAATAAGTAATAAACTCAGCAAGGTTTCTATAGTTACTTTTCAGATTTGAGTTCTGGGCCAGCCAGAGCAAAAATATAGTATCTTATTAGGGAAGTAGAGACTAGACATGTAGTTTAGTGGTGTAGCCCTTGCCTAGCATGTATGAGGCCTTTGATTAAATCTCCAGTACCTGAAGAACAAAGAAAGAATATTTGGGAAAGAGGAAGTATATAGTTGCCCAAAGGAAACTAGTTTTTCCTACAATTAAATTCCAAAAGCAATTTCTAATGTGAGTCACTGTCACAAATAACATTTTAAATAGCAAGTTCAATAACATTTATATAACTGCATTGGGTAGTATAATCTAATTCATTTTTATATAGAAATGAGTGAGTGTGGTGAATAATTGTATGTTTTATTTTTACAGGAGTCTTGTGAAACCAAAATGAGGCACAATCAGATGTGCTGTGAGACACCACCTACTGTCACTGTTCATGTAAGATCAGGGTCAAATAGATCACATCAGCCTAAAATTAATCTCAAACGTACTATTTTTAAAGATAGTTTGCAAGCATCTGACAAAAGTGCACATAATAGCAACAAATCTAAACGCCCCAAAGGGCCTTGTCTAGTTATACAGCGTCAGGAAATGACTGCTTTCTTCAAATTATTTGGTAGGTTTAAAATATTTTAATAGCATAATTACAATGTGCTTCAAAATTAGAATGTAAATTTCTATTTTATCACTTTCATAATGATCAAAAAGAATAATATCAATAGCATAATTATAAATTACTTGAACTTAGAATGTAAATATCTACTTTATCAGTTTCATAATGGCCAAAAAGGATGGTGTTATTTTCTTTGTCAAATTTATCTCCAGTCAAATTTGATTTTGTTAGTTTTTTTATGTTGGATTTTGTTTTTACTTGCTTGTGTATTAAAAATCCACATTCATCTAGCTTCTAGACTACTTAAATCCAAGTATTAAATGTAGATGCTGAAAATTCAGATGCATAGCATGAGTTTTGTTTGACCTAAAGTAACATGGTACATGAAGACTCAGGTGAGCAACCAGTTTGAGAATGAGGGGCTCTCCAGGACTTTTAACAGCTAACATCAATCAACTTGGAAGTATTGGTCAGCCTACAAAAGTTTCAATATTACATTTTGAAAATACTGTTTGGGAGTACCTTTTTTAAAATTATCCTGTTCGTATAACAAAATTCAGTTTGAATTTATTCAGATTATGAGATGGTGCTACTTTGCTAGTAAATTTCTCAGTAGGCAAAAGGAATATTTTAATAGTATTTCTACTAGGCCAAAAAAGAAAAAGGATTCCTATTTGGAGGTATGGTCATAAAATAGACAAGTTTGGATAAGGACTAGGATAGATGAGCTCTGGTAAGTACCTGTGGAAATGGAAGTCAAGCAGTCTGATAGATGGAGGTAGCAGGCCTCCTTAATTATAGAGGAAGGCCAGGTACGTTAAGTCAAGTTTGGTGAAGATGTGAAGAAAAATGAAATGGAAAGAGACTTTTTTTTTTTTAATCAAGAAAGAAAAGTTATATAAGGAATATAAGCAGAAAAATATACAAAGATATCCCCGTCAGGATGTAGAAGGTTAATACATGTTTCTCTTCTCCTTAAGAGTAGAACAAACTGTTAACCACAGACTTTCTTAATACCCATAACTGGTAATGAAAAATAAAACACTTGGTTCTACCATTTTATTTGTATTTTTTGTTTTTCGGTGCTGAAGATTGAACTCGACCTTGTGCTTGCAAGACAGGTGTGGGGCCATTCAGCTAAATCCCCAGCCTGGTTCTATCATTTTAGGTAACTTAAATAGAATTACCAGGGCAGAAATTAATCCTCAGGAAATCAGTAGTTATTCTTGGAATTTTCCAAGAATTGTAATCAAATACTTGATTATATTGAGATTTCTAGCATATAAAATTGAATATATGCTTTCTTTAACTGAAAGAGGAAGTGGAAAAATGATTTTCCTAGATTATATTTTATTTCCTAGATTTTTTTCGATAATTAGCAATATATTTTGAGATTATGTATTTGAGACCTTCAAAATTAAAAGTGTTTTTGACCTACTTTTTGGATGCTATCTACTCTTTTAATCTATTCTGGGGATCAAACTCAGGACCTTGCATTTGCAAGGTAAGCACAGTGCCAGTAAGCTAAATCCCCAGCCTGGATTCTATCTATTCTTAACATTTTTGCTTGTTGATTTTTCAGCCTATACTGTTTTCCCAGAATTAAATATTAATGATAAATAGGTAGTGAATTTTAAGCCCTTTTTATGTAGACATTTTCATATATATTTGAGTAGATGAGTGGACCAAAAATAGAGAAAAAGACTACAAAAATAAAAATACACTGGAACCTAAAAAGAGAAAGCATATAAAAAAGTAAAGCATATTTAGAAAAAGTATTCATTAAGTTATTTCTTAAAAATGAAATTATCTTTTATCAGATTCCATTTCTACTCTTTATAACTGATTTTGCAAAAGAATGAAGACTAGAGTTATCCTGCGTGAACAAGACAACACTGTTCTCCCTTAAAGCTGAACCATATACCTAGTGAGACAAATCAGATGGGAGGATGAAAGGGATATGGCAGTAACTTTATATGGTCCTTGCAGTGGTAAATACAGTGAGGAACTGAAAACTACACCTTAGACAACCTTGGTCCTGTCATTATTGGTCCTGTTTTATTTACAAGCACTATTTATGGTCTTCTGAAATAGAAATTAATTTTTGAAAGACTTCTATTTTTAAAAGGCAAGTTATAGCTATCTTTTGTTGTAGATGACGATTTAATTCAAGATTTCTTGTGGATGGACTGCTGCTGTAAAATTGCAGACAAGGTAAATTTAGATCAAGATAATCATTAACCAGCATTTTTTAAGTTATTAGACCCTTAAATTCATATCTTTTTTTATTGAAAACAAGACAATATGTTCTTGATAAATTTTGATCAGAATTACTGTTTTTTTTCTTTCTTTCTTTAGAATTACTGGTTTTATTTAGTTAGATTGTAGTAAAAAAATATCCTGAGATGCACTCCACTAAGGCAATCTCTTGTACATTTTTATGTATTGTGAATAATTCAGATAAAATAAATAATATGTTCTTTAGCAATCGGTGTTTCAGATAAGAATGTCTTAACTCTGAGCATTGATGTTTCTATGGCTTTTTCTTTTTTTAGGTACAAATTACAATATTTGTTTCAGTGCTTTTCTGTTTTGTTTTTTGATGTTTTATTGTTTGTTTGAGATAGCATCGGACTGTGTAGTTCAGGCTGACTTTGACCTCACTTTGTAGCCCATGTTGGCCTCAAACTCTTGGTGATTGTCCTACCTTAGCCTCCCAAGTGTTGGAATTATGGGCCTGTGCCACCACGCCAGCACTTTGTGTTTTTTTAATTAGCTGAACAGTTGAAGTTTCAACTTTGTAAATGCCATTTTAGACTAAGTAGTCATATAACAAGTTAAGCATAACTTCACTTCTTATTAAAATGTACAAACAGAAAAGGGAATGATAAGGTAGCTTATGATTAAATACCCACTATGTTGGTATTGAACATTCTGTCATACTTAAAATGGCAAAAATAAAGCATTTTAGCTAGGTGTAGTGGCGCATAACTGTAATCCCAGCACTCAGGATGCTAAGGCATGAGGATCACTGCAAGTTTGAGGCCAGCCTGGGCTACATAGTGAACTCAAAGCCAGCCTGAACTATTAAAAAAAATTATTAATTTATGGTCATTCTTATTTGTTTTAAACCTCTCAAAACTGGATTATTTTGAGGGAAATCCCAGACATCATTATTACATCCATAAGTATTTCTTAATGTATCTCTAAAATATAAGGGCTCTTTTAAAATATAATCACAATGTCACTGATACTTTTTAAAATTAACAGGCCTTAATATCCAGTTCCTGTAGAGTTTTGAATTTTTTTAATGTTACAGTTTCATGAGCATTAAAATCGTTGAACAAGGGGCCAGAGATTTAGCTCAGTGGTGCTGCTGCCTGCCTCTCAAGCACAAGGTCCTGCATTCAATCCTGGTACCAAAAAAAAAAAAAAAAAAAAAAAAAA